ATAGGCTGAAATCGCACCAAAAAGCAGTGAATGCGCTACTTTTAAAAAATGCACTGCAACCGGAACACATGGTTCTGCGGTACCATGCGATCAGGTGCAGGCAAACGTACTGCGTTTTGCGATCTGCGTTTGGGGTGTCATTAATCACTTCAAGTCCAGACACTTTCACCCCCTTCCAGTCCAGGCCAATTTTCAGCTTTCAGCACTATGACACTTTGAATGACAATTGCGCGGTCATGCAACACTGTACCTGTATTAATTTTTTAGCATTTGAGACCAATAAAAAAAAACAACTTTATTTTGGTGGTATTTATTCATCACAAGGATTTTTCTTTTTTTTGCTATATAAATTAAAAAGTCCAAAAATTTGGAAAAGTGTTTTTCTTATAAAATTTTGCAAATAATCTTTCTTCATAAATCTTGGCCAAAATGTATTCAGTTATCTTTTTAGAAAAAAAAAAAAAAACCCAAATTAGTTTATAACCAAAAATTATAATTTTTCAAACATTTTTATTTTTTATGTGTTTTTTTTTTTTTTTTTTTTACATACTGTCAACCTAGCAGTACAGGGTGACCCTCACCATAGTGACCCTGTACTAGTGACCTGTTGGGGGGGGGGGGGGGGGGGGGGGGGGTGACAGTTTTTTTTTTTTTTTTTTTTTTACACGGATTGCTTTTACACCAAGGCTGTAAAAGCAATTATTTCTCTTTTTCGATGCATTCTTGCAGCCATTGAGAAATACTGTGAGAGCTGTGATTGGTCACAGCTTGTCACATGGTACAAGGCTGTTGTGAATAGCCTTGTACCATGTGACCTCTGTGATCATTCAGTTTTCACACGTAGTAAGCAATGATGTCAGAAGTGACATCATTGCTTACTACTCTTCATGTGATCACGGATTGGCCAATCCGTGATCACATGATCGGGACCTCACACAGAGGTCCCATATAACATCCGGAGGACACAGCGGGCACTCGGATTGCGGTGCTGCGTGCTCCCAGGGAGCACGCACAAGCAGAGAGGACATATTGAAACGGCCACCCGACCCTGCACTGCCACCGTCCGGCCGTTTATATACATGGGCCGGGTGGGAAGGGGTTAAGAATACATTGACACCTATAGCAGATTGCACACCCAATGCGTTTTGAACGCAGTGCAAGAAACGCACACAGAATGCAGGATTCCCGCACCGTGTTCTGGTGTGAATGAGCCCTTAAGCGGGAATCAGATTCCTGTTTATTCTGACTCAGATTGTTGTGATAGCAATTTAACCCTTGTGAGACCTTTCTGCCTAGCCTGTATAAGCAGATATAATCACTGTGGGCAATCCTTATCAGATAGCTTGAACTCACCAATACTGTGTTCATCCAGAAGTTGCTTTATTCTGTACATGTGACAACAGGATACAGCAGAATGAATGGTTTCCAGTATTATGCGGTCAAAAGATGATACTTTCTGTAGCGTACTATGCAGAATACATGTGAACTGTTAGCTGCATCCATGACACAGGAAGTGCTGTACTCAAGAAGGGAGGAGCTTCATATGCAAAGGAATTGTGTCAGATCTCAGGGAGGTAATATGAAAACAAGTGCATTACCAAATAAGGCCACTGGATGGCAGCATAACTAACTATAGAAATGTCCATAGGAAATGGTACAAAGAATGAACTATATGAATTCTCATGTACATTAACATAAATATTACTGATTAGTGTATCAGCATACGTTACTTGATGTATTCTGTACCATGTTCTGTGCTCTGCCTATCCTCATATTGTACAGAAGTGGTATGTTGCCCACTACTAGAATAGTAAATCGGGGTCGTTATACATAAATGAACGGCACCGCAGTGCATTCACAATGGTGCAGGTATCATACGTTGCAGTAAGACCCTCATTTTGTACAGAGCTGCTATGGATAGATCAGTTGTGGGCAGCACAGTGGCTAAATGGTTAGCACTTCCGCCTGGCAGTACTCGGGTCATTGGTTCGAATCCCAACCAGGGCACCACCTGCCTGGAGTTTGCATGTCCTCCCTGTGCCTGCGTGGGTTTCCTCCCACACTGCAAAGACATGCTGGTAGGTTAATTGGATCCTGTCTAAATTGTCCCTAGTATGTATGAAGGTATGTGTATGTATGAAGGTATGTGTATGTATGAAGGTATGTGTATGTATGAAGGTATGTGTATGTATGAAGGTAAGTTAGGGACTTTAGATTGTACGTTCCTTGGGGGCGGGGACTGATGTGAATGTAATATATATATATATATATATAGTATATATATATATATATATATATATATATACACACACACACACACTTCTCCAGGGTGTCACCCATCCTCTGGAACTCCCTGCCCCAACCCATCAGATTATCACCTACTCTCCTCTCCTTTAGGCGCACCCTGAAAACCCATCTCTTCAGGGAAGCCTACCCCACCCCCTGCTAACTTGCCGACCTCCTCCACTCCTCCTACCACTCCATCCCCCACAGCTATCTCCTCCTGACCACCATCCCCCCCCTCCTAGATTGTAAGCTCGAAAGAGCAGGGCCCTCGATCCCCTCATGTATTGCATTGTATTGGTATTGTTCTGTCACATGTTCTGTCCCCCTTTGTAATGTACAGCGCTGAGCGAACTATTGGCGCTTTATAAATACTGTATAATAATAATATATATACAGTCATGGCCGAAATTTTGGCACCCTTGATATTTTTCCTGAAAAATGTAAATCAATTATTTCACACAAAAAAGGTATTGCATTAAACACATGTTTTGCTATACACATGTTTATTCCCTTTGTATGTATTGGAACAAATATAAAAACAGAAGGCAGAAAAGCAAATATGACATAATGTCACACAAAACCCCAAAAATGGGCTGGACAAAAGTATTGGCACCCTTAACTTAATATTTGGTTGCACACCCTTTGGAAAACATAAACTGAAAATCAGTCGCTTCCTATAACCATCATAAGCTTCTGACAACCTCTCACCCGGAATTTTGGACCACTCTTCCTTTGCAAACAGCTCCAGGTCTCTCTTATTGGAAGGACACCTTTTCCCAACAGCAATTTTAAGATTCTCTCCACAGGTGTTCAATGGGATTTAGATCTGGGCTCATTGCTGGCCACTTCAGAACTCTCCAGCGCTTCTTTGCCATCCATTTCTGAGTGCTTTTTGACGTATGTTTGGGGTCATTGTCCTGCTGGAAGACCCAGGATCTTGGACGCAAACCCAGCTTTCTGACACTGGGCCCTACAGTGCGACCCAAAATCCTTTGGTAATCCTCAGATTTCATGATGCCTTGCACACAGTCAAGGCACCCAGTGCCAGAGGCAGCAAAACAACCCCAAAACATCATTGAACCTCCACCATATTTTAACCGTAGGTACTGTGTTTTGTTCTTTGTAGGCCTCATTCCGTTTTCGGTAAACAGTAGAATGATGTGCTTTACCGAAAAGCTCTATCTTGGTCTCATCTGTCCACAAGACGTTTTCCCAGAGGCTTTTGGCTTACTCAAGTACATTTTGGCAAACTGTAGTCTTGCTTTTTTATGTCTCTGTGTCAGCAGTGGGGTCCTCCTGGGTCTCCTGCCATAGCGTTTCATTTCATTTAAATGTCGACGGATAGTTCGCGCTGACACTGATGCTCCCTGAGCCTGCAGGACAGCTTGAATGTCTTTGGAACATGTTTGGGGTGCTTATCCACCATCCGGACTATTCTGCGTTGCAATCTTTCATCAATTTTTCCTCATCCGTCCACGACCAGGGAGATTAGCTACAGTGCCATGGGTTGCAAATAACTTCTTGATAATGTTGCGCACTGTGGACAAAGGCAAATCTAGTTCTCTGGAGATGGACTTGTAACCTTGAGATTGTTGATATTTTGCCACAATTTTGGTTCTAAGGTCCTCAGACATTCTCGTCTCCTCTTTCTGTTGTCCATGCTTAGTGTGGCACAGACAGAACACACAATGCAAAGGTTAAGTGAACGTCTCTCCTTTTTATCTGCTTTCAGGTGTGATTTCTATATTGCCCACACCTGTTACTTGCCCAGGTGAGTTTACAGGAGCATCACATGCTTGTAACATTCTTTATTTATCCGCAGTTGTGAAAGGGTGCAAATACTTTTGTCCAGCCCATTTTTGGAGGTTTGTGTGACATTATGTCGAATTTGCTTTCTTTCCTCCCTTTTTTTGTTTTGTCCCAATACACACAAAGGGAATAAAATGTGTTATAGCAAAACATGTGTTAATGCAATACGTTTCGTGAGAAATACATGATTTCCTGGAGAAATATCAAGGGTGCCAACAATTTCGGCCATGACTGTATATAGCGAGTTTTGTAAATTTGACAGCGCTATATATAACTGTAATAATAATAATTATAACAGACACACTAGTGGAGTGAGATTGAGATGTCCGATTTATTGCCAACAAAAACAGAAAATACACAGAAGTGGAATGTAACAAAAACAAATCCAATCGCCCTACAGAGCAGATGTCTGTAATCGTTTTTTTCTGTTTCGCCGAATTCCGAGGGTTCCACAGGGTTAGGCGGAGAACACATTGTGCCTGGTGAGGTGGCAGCGGCTTTGGGAGAATCTTCTAGACCACCATTTTTTCCTTTTTGTAATATTACAGAAAAAGGGAGGGACAAATTTTAAACTAAACCCCTCTCTGTCAGATGTGGCAGCCCAAAGACTAAGATATAAAACCCATAACAGCACCAATGACCCTAAACTGTCCCTATTCAGGTTTTAAGTTATAAAATAAGAAAAATAAATAGACTTAAAACATGTTCATTTACAGAAATGGATTTACGTGTCTTTTTTGAAAGCGAAGCAAAAAATGTTCGATCCCTAAGCTGCCGGATATGTCTGCAATGTATTGCAGGGTCTTCCTGCAGTAAAGGTGCTGTATGCAACTAAATAAAAGGCCACCCCAATGTGAGGTCCATATCGTCACTCTGTGCCGAGGGAATTGTTTGGTGCTCGTCGTCTACTCCTGAGGCTTGGCCAGATACTCCTTGTACATGGAGTACAGAACGCCTGCAAAAGACAGGAACAGTGCGACAAAGGTAAGAAAACGATTCTGCTAAATATACTAAACACATTTTACAGCGAAGTAACCACTTCAAGTCCAGACACTGTCACCCCCTTCCCGTCCAGGCCAATTTTCAGCTTTCACACACGTTGACAATTGCTGCGCGTCATGCAACACTGTACCCAAATTAATTTTTTAGCTTTTTTTTAAATTTTTTTAGACAGATAAAACTTTTGGTGGTAGTTATTCACCGCTGGGATTTTAATTTTTTGTGCCATATAAAATGAAAAAGGCCAAAAATCTTAAAAAAAAAAAAAAAAAAAACTAGCGTTTTTCTTATAAAAATTTGCAAATAATCTTTTGTCATAAATATCGGCCAAAATGTATTCAGCTATCTTTTTAATAAAAAAACTAAAACAAAATTAGTTTATAAAAAAAAAAAAAAAAAAAAACCTAATTTTTTCCCAAAAGATTTTTTTTACATTTGTATTTAAATTTTTTTATATTGTTGTTTTGGTTTTTTTTTACCTAACCTAATTTTTCCAACAAATTTTCTTACATTTGCATTTTATTTCTTTTATATTAAATGTTTTGGGGTTTTTTGTACATACAGACCCAGGGTTCTCAGTGACACCCTGGTCTTTGTGCCGGGAGAGCGCCCCGGGTTGATCATTAGATCCTTCTAAAGGCCCCTTTCACACGGGCGTTCTGTTCTTGCTTGGAAAAAACATGACTGAACTAATGAATGAAAAAAAAGAAAAAAAAAAAAAAACGGAACGCCTGTGTGAAAGGGGCCTTAGAAAAATCTAATGATCAACCCAGGCGTGCTCCCAGCACAAAGGCCAGGGTGTCACGGAGAGCCCTGGGTCTGTATGTAAAAAAAACCCCCCAAAACATTAACCACTTCCCGACCGGCCCTTTGCATATAAACGGCCGGACGGTGGCACGGGTGGCCGTGCAGGGTCGGGTGGCGGCAGCACATCCGTGAAAAACACCGATCGTCGGACGGGACCTCTGTACGAGGTCCCGATCATGTGATCACTGATTGGCCAATCAGTGATCACATGCAAAGTAGTAAGCAAGATGTCACTTGTGACATCATTGCTTACTACATGTGAAATCTGTGAATGATCACAGAGGTCACATGGTACAAGCCTATTCACAACAGGCTTGTACACATGTGACAAGCTGTGACCAATCACAGCTCAGTCAGTATTTCTCAATGAGTGCATGAATGCACACAGAGAGAAAGAGAAATGATTGCTTTTACATCCTATATGGGTGTAAAAGCAATGTGTAAAAAAAAAAAAAAAAAAAAAAATCTTCATCACCCCCACACACAGTAGTTCTCAATGGCTGCAAGAATGCAGCCAGAGAGAAGGAGAAATGATTGCTTTTACAGCCTTTATGGGTGTAAAAGCAATCAGTGTAAAATAAAAAAAAAAAATCTTCATCACCGCCCACAAGTAGTACAGTGTCACCATGGTGACACTGTACTGCTAGGGTGACAGTATGTAAAAAAAATAAAAATAAAAAAAATTATAATATAAAAAAAAATAAAATAAAAATGTAAAAAAAAAATGTTTAAAAATTATAATTTTTGTTATAAACTAATTTGGATTTTTTTTTTTTTTTTTTACTAAAAAGATAACGGAATAAATTTTGGCAAAGATTATGATGAAATATTATTTATTTGCAAAATTTTATTTAAAAAAAAACACTTTTTTTTCAAAATTTTTGGACATTTTCATTTACATAGCAAAAAAAAATAAAAATCCCAGCGGTAAATAAATACCACCAAAATAAAGCTTTATCTGTTTATAAAAAATGGTAAAAAATTCATTTGGGTACAGCGTTGCATGACCGCGTAATTGTCATTCAAAGCGTGATAGCGCTGAAAGCTGAAAATTGCCCTGGTCAGGAAGGGGGTAAAAGTGTCCGGTCTTGAAGTGGTTAAATATAAAAAAAAAAAAAAAATGAAAATGTAAGAAAAAATTTGTTGGAAAAATTAGGATTTTTTTTTTTATAAACTAAGTTTATTTTTGGTGCGTGTGTTTTTGGTTAAAAAAAAAAAAAAAAAAAAAAAAAAAAAAAAATAGGGATAGCTAAATACATTTTGGCCAATATTTATGACAAAGAATTATTTGCAAATTTTTATAAGAAAAACACTTTTTTTCCCCCCTTTCAAGATTTTTGGCCTTTCATTTTATATAGCAAAACAAAATTAAAATCCAAATGGTGAATAACTACCACCAAAAGAAAGTTTTGTCTAAAAAAAAAAAAAAAAAAAAAAAAAAAAAAAGGTAAAAGGATGGTAAATGGATGAAAGAGCAGATGTAAACTTTTTTTCATCAGTTCAGTCATGTTTTTTCCAAGCAAGAACAGATCAGTTTACATCTGCTTTTTCATCCATTTTACGGTCCTTTACGTTTTGTTTCTTTTGTTTTAAAAACGGAAGAAAAATAGGGTTTTCTTCCGTTCAAAAAAAAAAAAAAAAAGGATGTTAACGGATGTAAACAGATGATCATCCGTTTACAAATGCTAGTCCATAGAAATACATGGGGGTCAGTTTTTCATCTGTAAAACAGATGAAAAATGGATGTACAGAACGCCCGTATGAAAGAGGCCTAAAATAAAGTCTGATAAATCCACATCACTCACCACAAGTCATTGCGCCGACAACAAACCCCTGAGCTCCTACACGCATGTGTATAAGGTGGACGGACATTTTGGTGTCCCCTCTGTGTCTCAGCTTATACAGTCCATAGGCAACAATTGCAGCAAACCCAGCAATACCTAAAAAATAAAAACAAACAAGCATACATCCATTATACTATAACTGTTGATGTATCCAAAGCAACACGTAGTGACTGCTAATGTCAGCACATAAAGCAAAGCAGCAGAAGAAAACGCCCTCTGCATGCCTATCCTTCCCTATGGGAGGTTTCCTGATGCTTCCTGTGCCGGTGACAACAGGAAGGAAGTCTGCCAACAATACTCTGCTAGTTGAGTAGAGTAGTGTTAGAACTTGTCAAAGTGGTTTTATATATGAGCCGTTTCATCATTGAATAGTTACATAGTTAGTCCATCCAGTTCAACCATAAAAAAAAAAAAAAAAAAAAAAAAAACAAAAAAAAAAAAAGTTATAATCCTACACCCACAGTTGATCCAGAGAAAGGCAAAAAAAAAACCCCAGCAAAGCACGATCCAATTTGCTCCTGCTGGGAAAACAAAATTCCTTCCTGATCCCCCGAGAAGCAATCGGATATTCCCTGGATCACCTTTCCCTATAAATGTTATATCCAGTTATATTCTGTGTATCTAAGAAAGAATCCAGGACTTTCCTACAGCAATCCACTGAGCTGGCCACAACCAACTCTGGGGGGAGTCTATTCCACATTCTCACAGCTCTTACTGTGAAGAAACCTTTCTGTGTTTGGATATTAAATTTCATTTCCTCCAGATGTAAAGAGCTCCCCTTGTCCTCTGTGATGACCTCAGGGGGAATAACTACACAGAGTTCACTATATGAACCACTGATGTATTATACATGGAGATCATATCCCCCCTTATGTATTTATACCATGGAGATCATATCCCCCCCTTATGTATTATACATGGAGATCATATCCCCCCTTATGTATTATACATGGTGATCATATCCCCCCTTATGTATTATACATGGAGATCATATCCCCCCTTATGTATTTATAACATGGAGATCATATCCCCCCTTATGTATTATACATGGAGATCATATCCCCCCTTATGTATTATACATGGAGATCATATCCCCCCCCCCCTTATGTATTACATGTTGATCATATCCCCCCCCTTATGTATTAATACATGTTGATCATATCCCCCCCTTATGTATTATACATGTTGATCATATCCCCCCCCTGTATTACACATGGAGATCATATCCCCCCTTATGTATTACACATGGAGATCATATCCCCCCTTATGTATTATACATGGAGATCATATCCCCCCCTTATGTATTACACATGGAGATCATATCCCCCCTTATGTATTATACATGGAGATCATATCCCCCCCCCCTTATGTATTATACATGGAGATCATATCCCCCCCTTCCCCCTATGTTATTACACATGTATCCCCCCCTTATGTATTAACACATGGAGATCATTATCCCCCCCCCCCCTTATGTATTATACATGGAGATCATATCATCCCCCCCTTATGTATTATACATGGAGATCACATCCCCCTTATGTATTATACATGGAGATCATATCCCCCATTATGTATTATACATGGAGATCATTATCCCCCTTATGTATTATACATGGAGATCATATCCCCCCTTATGTATTATACATGGAGATCACATCCTCCCCTTATGTATTATACAAGGAGACACATCCCCCCCTTATGTATTATACATGGAGATCACATTCCCCCCATTATACATGGAGATCACATCCCCCTTATGTATTATACATGGAGATCACATCCCCCCCCTTATGTATTATACATGGAGATCACATCCCCCCTTATACATGGAGATCACATCCCCCCTTATGTATTATACATGGAGATCACATCCCCCCCTTATGTATTATACATGGAGATCACATTCCCCCCCTTATGTATTATACATGGAGATCATATCCCCCCTTATGTATTATACATGGAGATCATATCCCCCCTTATGTTTATTTATACATGGAGATCATATCCCCCCCCTTATGTATTATACATGGAGATCATGTATTACACATGGAGATCATATCCCCCCTTATGTATTATACATGGAGATCATATCCCCCCTTATGTATTACACATGGAGATCATATCCCCCCTTATGTATTATACATGGAGATCATATCCCCCTTATGTATTATACATGGAGATCATATCCCCCCTTATGTATTATACATGGAGATCATATCCCCCTTATGTATTATACATGGAGATCATATCCCCCTTAATCTCTTTCTCAGTAGAGAATAAATTCAGTTCCTCTATATCTTTCCTCATAGCTGAGCTCCTCCATGCCTCGTATCAGTTTGGTTGCCCTTTTCTGTATTTTCTCCAGTTCCCCAATGTTCTTTTTGTGAATTGGTGCCCAAAACTGAACTGCATATTCTAGATGAGGTCTTACTAATGATTTGTACGGGGGGGGGGGGGGGGGGGGGGATGATATCTCTCTCTCTGTAGTCTATACCTCTCCTAATACAAGAGAGGATTTGTCTCGCTTTAGAACCGGCAGCTTGGCATTGCTGCCATTATTAAGCTTGTGATCTATCAGAACCCCCAGATCCTTCTCAACCATTGACCCCCCAGATCCTTTCACCATTGACCCCCCCCAGATCCTTTACACCACTGACCCCCCCAGATCCTTCTACACCATTGACCCCCCCCCCAGATCCTTCTACACCATTGACCCCCCCCCAGATCCTTCAACACCATTGACCCCCCCCCCAGATCCTTCACCATTGACCCCCCCCCCCCCCCCCCAGATCCTTCACCATTGACCCCCCCCCCCCCCCCCAGAAAAAACATTGACCCCCCCCCCCCCAGATCCTTCTTCACCAGCATGTTCTTTTGAGAAAAAAAAAAAAAAAAAAAAAACACAGACTGGCTGGATCACCAGCTGAAAATAAAAGAAAGCCTAAAAAAATAAACGAAAGCAGTCATCACATCTAAGAATTGGTAAGCTGCAACACAACAAATGCTTTTTGGCTTAATACCACTTTAAAGTGCAACTCCAGGCTAAAGTGCAAAGTTCAGTATCACTTGCCAAGCCTTTAGGTCAGAGGAATCCCTAGGGTTGGTGTCACCCCTCCAGAGAGGAAGGAGCGGTGAGCGGTGCGGGTACCGGTAAAATGGAGTATCCCTTGAAGATATGTACCCCCTGAAGCAACTGCGCATGTGCCGGTTTTCATGCCGAACAAGCCGATCTCCGACTTTAGCACAGAGGCGACGATCGGCTTCTTCAGCCTGAAACCGGCAACATGCACAGTTGCTTCAGGGGACACTCATTCTACCGCTACACTGGGGCGGGGGCAGCTGTCACTGTTCCGGCATCTTGCTCCCGCACCCCCTGTGATGGTGTCACCAGGTGCGGCCCACACCCCCCCCCCAGGGACGCCGCTGCTTTAGGTGAATTTGTAGGTATCAGAGGTGAGCAACTACAGGCCAACAAAAAGGTAATATTTACAACCCGTTCACAGCGACTCACCCACTGGTACAAATGGAGACTCCTTGGATTTTCTGATCAGCTTAGATGTCTGAGAATCAGTCATCTCGTAGGTTGGCAGAACGTCTCCGGTGCCTGAAGCCATATTGTCTGCAAGGAGAAAAACATCACTATGAGAAGCAAGTTCAAGGAATGACAAGATCATCAACTGGAAAGATCGGCTGCCTCCAGAAAGAGGGTGAAGGGACCATAACACAGGTTGTGATGGGGGGGGGGGGGGGGGGGGGAACGACACAATACAAACCCTAATGGAACATTTTGTTTCCTAAAGCACCGTGCGGTTTTATTTACTAAAACTTGAGTCAGGCTCACTTCTCTATATAAACCAATCAGCTTCCAGGTCTTATCGCCAAAGCCCAATGGAACGAGGACAGAAGCGGATTGGTTTCTATTCAGAAGTTTTTAAACTACCCCTGAGTTGGGTGCAGGCAGCCCATATAAAGTTGGTGCAGCGCTGAAGAAATATGTAAAAATATATAAAAGCGCACTAATAAAAATATGAAATTATTAAAAACAAGTGATATCATGGAGGTGACTCGCTACACTGAGTGCAAATGGAGAAGTGAGACTGTGAAAGTCAATAAACAGACGAAGAAAGTTCATATAATGGTGAAGGTCTGAAAAAAATTGGTCAGAAAATTGTGCTGCATGCACAGGTGGTATCAAAGAATTTCATGTGACTTTAATCCGTGCAGAGATAAAAAAAAAAAGGGATTTAAAATAAATAAATAAAAATGTTTTCACTAGTAATGACGGCAATCAGCGACTTAGGTGGGCATTCTGACATGGGGGGGGCAGGGGTAACTGACTTGATGTCACTGACATCCCCAGTGACACCAATATAGTGACACTGTACTAATGGCACTAGGCAGGGGTTAACATGTGAGGCGATCAAAGGGTTAACTGTGTGTGTTTCACTGATAGCACACTGCTATGCAAAGCCATACAAAGCAGTGTACAAAGCAATCCCTCCCCTGCTTTCTGAAAGCTCAGACAAGCAGTAAAAAATTCTGGACTTTGAATGGATGTAGAGAAGAGATGACTGCAGATAAACAGGTACAACTTATGAAGGATTTGTTTCATCTCCGTATCACTTGAGGCCGGTCACCTCACTAGGTATATTTGAGGATTTACAATAACTTTAAACCAAAACGCAACTACTATAAAATCGAGTAAAGCATCTTCGTTTAGTAAATGGACCCCAAAGTTACAACCTAAAGACCACGAAATGTTCTCCAAAAGCAGTTCGACAGTAAAGTTGCTCCTAATCTCACACACAGACACTATATCCGCTCTCCCGGACCCCGCATTCACTATATCCGGTCTCCCGGACCCCGCATTCACTATATCCGCTCTCCCCGGACCCCCGCATTCACTATATCCGCTCTCCCCGGACCCCGCATTCACTATATCCGCTCTCCCAGGACCCCGCATTCACTATATTTCCGCTCTCCCCGGACCCGGCATTCACTATATCCGCTCTCCCCGGACCCGGCATTCACTATATCCGCTCTCCCCGGACCCCGCATTCACTATATCCGCTCTCCCCGGACCCCGCATTCACTATATCCGCTCTCCCCGGACCCCGCATTCACTATATCCGCTCTCCCCGGACCCGCATTCACTATATCCGCTCTCCCCGGACCCCGCATTCACTATATCCGCTCTCCCCGGACCCGGCATTCACTATATCCGCTCTCCCCGGACCCGGCATTCACTATATCCGCTCTCCCCGGACCCTGCATTCACTATATCCGCTCTCCCCTGACCCGGCATTCACTATATCCGCTCTCCCCGGACCCGGCATTCACTATATCCGCTCTCCCCGGACCCGGCATTCACTATATCCGCTCTCCCCGGACCCGGCATTCACTATATCCGCTCCCCGGACCCGGCATTCACTATATCCGCTCTCCCCGGACCCCGCATTCACTATATCCGCTCTCCCCGGACCCCGCATTCACTATATCCGCTCTCCCCGGACCCGCATTCACTATATCCGGTCTCCCCGGACCCCGCATTCACTATATCCGCTCTCCCCGGACCCCGCATTCACTATATCCGCTCTCCCCGGACCCCGCATTCACTATATCCCGCTCTCCCCGGACCCCGCATTCACTATATCCGCTCTCCCCGGACCCGCATTCACTATATCCGCTCTCCCCGGACCCCGCATTCACTATATCCGCTCTCCCAGGACCCCGCGCATTCACTATATCCGCTCTCCCAGGACCCCGCATTCACTATATCCGCTCTCCCCGGACCCGGCATTCACTATATCCGCTCTCCCCGGACCCCCCCCCCCGGCATTCACTATATCCGCTCTCCCCGGACCCGGCATTCACTATATCCGCTCTCCCCGGACCCCGCATTCACTATATCCGCTCTCCCCGGACCCCGCATTCACTATATCCGCTCTCCCCGGACCCCGCATTCACTATATCCGCTCTCCCCGGACCCCGCATTCACTATATCCGCTCTCCCCGGACCCCGCATTCACTATATCCGCTCTCCCCGGACCCGGCATTCACTATATCCGCTCTCCCCGGACCCTGCATTCACTATATCCGCTCTCCCCTGACCCGGCATTCACTATATCCGCTCTCCCCGGACCCGGCATTCACTATATCCGCTCTCCCCGGACCCGGCATTCACTATATCCGCTCTCCCCGGACCCGGCATTCACTATATCCGCTCTCCCCGGACCCGGCATTCACTATATCCGCTCTCCCCGGACCCGGCATTCACTATATCCGCTCTCCCCGGACCCCGCATTCACTATATCCGCTCTCCCCGGACCCCGCATTCACTATATCCCGCTCTCCCGGACCCCGCATTCACTATATCCGCTCTCCCCGGACCCCGCATTCACTATATCCGCTCTCCCCGGACCCCGCATTCACTATATCCGCCGTCCACCTAAAGACCATGAAATGTTCTCCAAAAGCAGTTCGACAGTAAAGTTGCTCCTAATCTCACACACAGACACTATATCCGCTCTCCCCGGACTCTGCATTCACTATATCCGCTCTCCCCGGACTCTGCATTCACTATATCCGCTCTCCCCGGACCCCGCATTCACTATACCCGGTCTCCCCGGACCCTGCATTCACTATATCCGCTCTCTCTGGACCCTGAATTCACTATATCCGCTCTCCCCGGACCCCGCATTCACTATACCTGGTCTCCCCGGACCCCGCATTCACTATATCCGGTCTCCCCGGACCCCGCATTTCACTATATCCGGTCTCCCCGGACCCTGCATTCACTATATCCGCTCTCCCCGGACCCTGCATTCACTATATCCGCTCTCTCCGGACCCTGCATTCACTATATCCGGTCTCCCCGGACCCCGCATTCACTATATCCAGTCTCCCCGGACCCCGCATTCACTATATCCGCTCTCCCCGGACCCTGCATTCACTATATCCGCTCTCCCCGGACCCTGCATTCACTATATCCGCTCTCCCCGGACCCTGCATTCACTATATCCGCTCTCCCCGGACCCCGGGTGCATTCACTATCTGCTCTCCCCGGACCCTGCATTCACTATATCCGCTCTCCCCGGACCCTGCATTCACTATATCCGCTCTCCGGTCCCCGGTCCCTGCATTCACTATATCCGCTCTCCCCGGTCCCTGCATTCACTATATCTGCTCTCCCCGGACCCTGTATTCACTATATCCGGTCTCCTACAATTACATAGAACATGGAAAATGCAATTTTTAGTAAAATATCTTAGATTGTAAGCTCCCAGGATCAGGCCCTCCTATCCCTTCTTGTATTGAACTGTATTGTTGCTGTATTGTCTCCCGTTATATTGTAAAGCGCTGAGAAAACTGCTGGCGCCATAAATCTGTATAATAATAATATAAACTGCTAAATACATTTTCAGCAGTATATAGGAGTCTTGTGACTTCTATCAGTGTCCAGCTAAACACTGGTTTAACGCTTGTAGGAGTTTTTCATTCTCCTCTGACTGTCCTATGAGGCTGCATTACCCCTGACCCTCTGTCTGGACAGTGCTGATTGGCCCTGTGCTGATCACATGCATCATTCCTAAAGGAAAAAAAAAAATCTCTAGCAATACATGCCAAACTGAGCATGTGCAGAGTGACACCTACAGCTCTGTACTATCAGCAGATGGATGAGGATACCAGAAGGGGAGGATCAGAGAAGGGAGGATCAGAGAAGACAGGATCAAACAGACTTTTTACACAATGCAGAGGATTAACCCCTTAGGCTCCACAGTGAGTATAACAAGATGCTTTCCTGCATCTACAGACTGATTGTACTGTTGTGGGTTTAGTGACACTAAGCTTTGGCAATAAAATCTGGAAGCCGATTGGTTTCTATGCACAGATTTTGGATACTCCAGTTTTAGTAAATCCCCCTCCAGTATTTCTCTTCTGCATTCAAAATCCTGTTTACAATTGTAAAAAAAAATAAATAAAAGTGCCATTTAAGTCTAGGGGAAACATTTTCCTTTCTATGGCCTTCTCATGTATGTATAGGAGCAATCTAGCCCAGCATGCTGGAAATTATAGTCCCAGCTGTTGACAAGCCTTTGGTTTCCACATGTGTGCTGTAGGCTGTGCACTAGCAGAACATTTGTGCAGATTACATGTATGATGCAATATAACCAGACGGCATGTCACCAGAGGATGTGGCTTGGCCGTCTTCTTACAGGGAAAAAAAAAAAAAAAAAGGAAGCAAGTAACAGCCGGGGACTCAGGAGAGAGGACACCCAGGCTGGCACAGCAACATAGGAACGTATTCTGTAGACTTTTCCTATAACATGTCACACAGATGACGCTCATACCACACGGAAACAAGGGTGTGTGCAGTATACATGGGACTTTGCAGCAAGTTGCAGGTCAATACAAATACAGATCCTGAATCCTGTCCAGTGCAGGTGCACAGTCAGTGGAGGTGCACAGTCAGAAGACTATATACCTGCACCAGACAGGATTCAGGATCTGTATTTGGAGGGTTCTGACTTGGGGGGTTTCCTAATAGGTAGTTGTTGGGATCTTGTGATGGGTCCTGGGTTGCTCTAATCCACGGGTGTCAAACTGGCAGCCCTCCAGCTGCTGCCAAACTACAAGTCCCATGAGGCATTGCAAGACTGACAGTTACAAGCATGACTCCCAAAGGCAGAGGCATGATGGGACTTGTAGTTTCGCAACAGCTGGAGGGCCGCCAGTTTGACACCCCCGAGTCCAATCCTGGAGGTACCCCGGCAAGGTGCTGGTTCCTAAGGCTGGTAGCCTTTAGTGTGTATAGCACCTGTTAGAAAGGTAGAGAAAGCCAATGTGCTTCAGGGGTATTTGTGCTCCCCACTTCAGGGCTTTACCGTGGAACCACATCAGTTTGCGGCTCACAACAGCATGTCAGTGTTACAAAAGGCCATCTGCACATGATTGGATATTTAAAGTGGTTGCAAACCTCAGACATGAAAAATGAACAAAGCATATCCCTCTATAGTGTGTACTTGTCTCAAACCAGAGCACTAAGTATAATTTCCGTCTTCTGTCTCCTTCCCCTGCTATCAGCATGAATCACTTCTGACAATTTTCCCTGACACCAAGAGAAAAAAAAGGTGACATGGGAGGGAGCTCCAGCACACAGCCCTGTGGTTGACAGACTCAGCTCTATTTCTGTGAGCATTGTGGGAGAGGGGCGTGTCCCTTCCCACCAATCAGCTCTCAGAGCTCAGCCTCAGCTCTACTTCTGTGTGCATTGTGGAAAGGGGTGTGTCCCTTCCCACCAATCAGCTCTCAGAGCTCAGCTCTATTTCTGTGTGCATTGTGGAGAGGGGTGTGTCCCTTCCCTCCAATCAGCTCTCAGAGCTTTCTTCACTGAAGTCTGCAGCATGCAATTTCAGCTCTCCCTCTCCTGCTTTCTGAAAGCTCAAACAAGCAGTAGAAATTCTGGACTTTGAATGGGTGTAGGGAAGAGATGACTGCAGATAAACAGGTACAACTTATGAAGGATTTGTTTCATCTCTGTATCACTTGAGGCCAGTCACCTCACTATGTATATGTGAGGATATACAATCACTTTAAACCAAACAACTACTATAAAAGCGAGTAAAGCATCTTCGTTTAGTAAATGGACCCCAAAGTTACAACCTAAAGACCATGAAATGTTCTCCAAAAGCAGTTCGACAGTAAAGCCCGACATTACCACAAACAGCCATGAAGGAGGAGGATCAAATCCCCTGAAACGCGTAGGATTTATACCTTTTCCTGATTACAAATGAAGGAACCAAGCCTCTCTTTGTCAAACTCTTTACTCAAGTTGCTGCTAATCATACACACACACACGCACAATTTTTTCGCCCGATAATTTGTGACACGTTGGGTGGTGACTTGGAGTAGATGCTTGAACATCTCAAGCTTGCAGATTCCTGGAGGAGCTGGAGGGGTAATCTGACACGTGGTGGGCACAAACCAGGACCTTGAAGAGCTGGCTAGCTACAGTTTACACTGGAGGGTTCTGGTAAAGCAGGCCATAGCGTATGCAATTTTCATTCCTTCCACTACAGGTGGAAGGAATGAAAAATGCTAGATTTCCCCCCCC